ACACAAACAAGCACCAAAATCTTTGCTGAAGGATTGACAAGGAGCCCCAAACACAAAGCCCATGAGCCAGGTCACCAAGTACCATATAGAGCGCACAGGATCCCCAAAGGCTTCTGGTTTTGCAGTTTGTGAGAACCCTTAAACCTTTAAGAAAAGGTTAAGAAGCTAAAAACTTGAGGACAAGGACTCATCACAGTTTGGCTGAGGGAAAGCGCAGTGCAGGAAGAGGGCCGATGTTAGCACGGGTCTGCCACGTGATAATGGTGTTATGTAGCTCAAGTGCAACTTCTAACAGTAGCATCATCACATGTGTTTGTCAAAAACAATAACCGCTTTTTTTGTTTCCTTTCACACCATCACAGTACGCCTCATCACCTGCCTTCAAAAAAAGCCCTGAGAATCAGCAATTTCAAAACTCATATTTATAACCATTCCTGATTAATACTGTCACACAGCACAGTCAAACCTGCCAGTCTGCTGCAAGCTGTTCAGCAATCTATTTCAGCTCATGTCCCAGCTTCAGAAATACTTTAAAAGGTCCCAGATTTGCCTTGGAAGAGGAGTGAATGGAGGGGAGCCCTTACTGCCACTGAATACCCGAAAGCATGAGAAAAGGATCAAGGGAAAAGTAGTTTAGCAAAATCATTCAGGAAACACTCAAAACAGTCAAGGAAGCATTATCAAATTGTTCTGCATGGAATAATATTGCATACAGAAATGTCAAGGGCCTGATTTTAGCTTCTTGTCCCCTCTACCCCCCCTTTTATTTTGGAAATCTCATTCTGTCTAGGTTATGTCGGAAAAGAAGTATCATTAACCATCCTTCAAGTAACTTACATATTTTGAAACAGATACTGAAATGGCATTATGTGGTATTTCCCACCCCTATTTTGAAATAAGAGTTTTCCCCCAAACTAATGAAAGTACCTGCAGCATACCACAGCAACGCAAGCTTTGTGTTTTTCACTTTGACTCGGGGAAAAATCCCCACCTTATTACAAATTGCTTGTTAGTACAAGATTTAGAGATAACTTTTCTAATACTTGAGCAATGACAGCTACTCACAATTTATAAGTCTTATCTAGCCGTGTACGAGCATGCTTAATTTAAAGCAATCAGCTGACTCCTAACTTTCAACCTTTCCCTTACAGATCATTTTTAGACCAGCTATAAATCTGACAAACAGTGAACGATTAAGAAACTAAATTAGGGCTGCTTTAGCAAAAACGCTTGGCCTTTCGCTAGTTTGAGATTGCAAACTGTGATTCAAAAACCATTCTGCCTGTACAAACATTTCTTCTCATCTGCTTCCCTCCTTCCCTCCTCCCAGAGTGGTTATCCACCACCAACTCTCTTCAGTGGCTGCGATCCTGACTTAAGCGAGTTAAAGCAGAGACAAGTCTATGTAGTTCTCATTACAGATACTTAGCTCTGCTTAAAAGAGCTCTGAAACACACAGATACTGTACTAAATCATCTTTTTAATAATTTTATTGTTATTAGTTCTTATAAAAAAGGGGTGCCGTGCCCCAGTAGACAGAAAACATCACTCTCCGAATGCATGAGCGACAGTGGCCTGTCAAGGCATCCGTCCCTGCCAGCACCATCCCAGCGCCAGTTCCAACTGCAGCCCTTCCAGGACCGCTCCCGCACACACGCCAGCTCAGGTAAGGGCGCCTCGGAAAGCGTGCGTGGTATGTGACTCAGCCCTGAACGTATAGATGACACAAACCCCAGGCACTTCAGCCAATATATGTAATAGCTGCTAACCAACCAAACAAAAAAAAGCACTAGACTATTTAGAGAAACGAGCATTCATTTTTGTATTTGTAAACATTACGATCTTAAGTGTGTTAATTCTTATTACAGTTCTTTTTATTACTGTTTAATATACTCTTAATATGACTCGGGAGTATCCAGCCAGATATCTCAACTCTCTGTGCTGTTACAATATGCACTTCTCAAGAATGCCATCAGATTAAAAAAAAAAAAATTAGAAAAAATGGAAATTTCTCTTTGCCAGTTAAAATACTAGATTTTTAACATCTTGCAAATGAACTCAGCAGAATACGGGGGGGGGGGAACCCAAACCCCAAAAGAACTAATTTTGAATAATGGCAATAAATAAGTGGGTGAACATCTAAGGGTCATTAGGACCACAAGAATTTTTTTTTCCTGCCTTACATGTTGGTCTGCTGTCTGTATGGAGAACTAGCACGACAGTAAATGTCGCTGAAGTGAATACACGCAGACTCACTGGACGTGGGGTTTTTTTGTCAAGTCATACACTTAAATATTCTGCAGGTCTGCTTCCATCACTGCACATGAACATCCAGTGGTAAAATAGATTTCAACCAGAAAACAAAAATAACTCACCTCTTCTTTGTAAAGAACTGTCAAGCAGACCTCATGCCATCTATCAGCATCCACCATGTTTACATACAATGCAGATATACAAACTTTATATAATTTATGAGAGACCTTCCCATCCCCCTTATACACACAGATCTTGGCATTCATTGACAAAGATAAACATACTGCACTCACATGTCTTCAACCGTGATATCTTTCAGGATCTGGCAGTAATCCACGTTCCACACTGCCTGGTCGTCCCAAACTTTGGATGCCAGTAGAATGGCACCCAGTACAATTCGCTTCCAGTTTGCTGGACAAATATCTATCTCTGCATAAGTTAAAAGTCTTTCAAGATATACCTGTGGAAACACATTAAAATCAAGACTTAATCTATCTTGCTATTAAGCAGAAATGAAAAAGAAAACTATTCCCATAAACCCATTCCAGCAACTTTATAAGAGTAATCTGCTCTCAAGAAGATTTTTTTATAGAAGTTGTAGGTTTAAATACATATATTTATGCCAAGCTCAAGACTGAATGTGATAAATTCATATTTTAGTTGGCCTTTGCCTTCTGATCATATTACCAGAAACAAAACTGTTATTTTTCTATCTGTAACTGTTGGTAATATAGTCACATGTTGGAATGAATTCAAATGATCACTTAAATAAATTATTAAAATAATAATGTAAATAAATAAAATGCTAATGACTAACGAGAAAGGCAAGGGTATGCTACCAGTAATAGTTACTAGCTATTATACAAACAACTATAGTTGTAATTCACAGGCAGTCAGTTATCAGATACGGCATCATGTCATGCCGGGCCCCTCTGGCGAGCCTGTGTGAAGAGGTTCTATAGGCACCTATAGGGTGGGCGGAGGAACAGTTACCACAGAAACAGCAAGCTGAACAGAGAGGAGAAGTATGTGCTAAGAAGGTAATTCATAACGGTTTCCTCTGGACCGATAAGCTCTGGAGATGAATAACAGTAGTCCTGTTGGACATGCAAGAACTGACAAACTCAGGACACCATAGACTGGCCCAGTCTGCCCAAGGCCACCAAAGCAGGGTAGCATTGACCAGAGCTCGTATGACCCAGACCTCATCCAAGAAGGTGGTGGGTACTATTTACAAACACTACAGGATTATACACGCACATCTGATGAAGCAAGGGACCGTGGAGGGACTTTCTGAACACCTACCAAAAAACTGCTCAGGGGGGGAGTGCAGTATGACCCTCTGCTTCCAAACACAGCGCGAGGCTGGCCCCCCCGGCTGATGCTCCAGCCAGGGAACTAGGGGTGAATACGGGAGGGACCCACTGAATACTTCTGCAATCCACAACATTTAAACAGTTTATACACTAGCTGAGAAGACACAGAATAAATATCTTGTGGTTTGACTAAGTTAATGTTTATTAGCACCTAATCAAATAATACCCAAAGAATAGCTAATATATCCAACATTCAATGCAGGATACATGCTGGTAAGGGTTTGAGGGGAAGGGGAAAAGGGGGATGTAGGGGGAAAACTTTAAAACGGGAACAGCTCACTTGTGATTTTCTATAAGGACGCACACTCATACAAGCACACAGAGGACCTTCAGTGATTTGTGCTCCTGGAAAGGTCTAGCATTAGTGGAAAATATTACATACTTAAAAAATAATAATTCATATATTTTGAAGCTCGTGTATTTTTATGAGTCACCAATAACATCAAGGCCAATTACATCCTTCATATAGTTTTGTTCATTAATTTTCACAATTATGATATGTACAAGTAATTAGAGTTTGGCAACAAGATCCTCAAGACCAGTAGACAGCTGTTGTATAATTTAAAGCTTTACAGCGAAAAAAAATATTTTATAGAAAAATATTAAATATCTGAATACATGTACACAGGTATTCACCTCACAAAATGAAGTGTCTCACACACTCTGCAGTATAAATGGCATATGGAGCAAGAAAATCATGGGAAAAATACAAAACACAGTATTAGACAACTTTTGTTCAAAGTGGCCACCACAAAGTGTAGTTCTTTGCTTCCTACTCTTACTGAATGAAAATAAAACTCGAGTTACAAAATCTGTAATGGTCACTAATACAGTCATATTAAAATGAATTCATGGGTAAAAAGTATAAAATTTTCTCTCCTCAACAGACCACCTCTCCCAAGCAAGAGATTTCTCAGTCCACTGGGAGGTTGTTTCAAACAGATTTCACTGTGCTCTTCTGGCAATGATTTAAGGAAACTCAGATGCAGTCATTTATTAAGTTAGTAAATTCCACTCTGATTTAAAAACAAAATTTTTTACTGCCTTCACTAGCATCAAGGAAGTGAACTTGTTCTGCAGTTTCGTTTCGCACCTGCAGAACAACTTGCTGTGCATGAAGGAGCAGAACTTGAAACTGGAAGTGCTTCAACGTGACAGCACAGACGCATTCACTACAACCAACAATTAGTCCTGATATGCTACTCTATAAAAACACAGGTTTGCATTTACTGAAGAATAACCTATTCTTTGTATCTCGTAATAGATCTTATAATACCCTCTTCACTGCATTGTGATAAAAAGCAATTAGGTGGTTATTCAGGTTGCTAGTACTCTCACAAGAGTCTACATCGACTGACAGAAACTAGCAGGAGATTTTAATGAGATACTCTGATGAAAGTACAATATACACACAAAATATTATACCTACCTGAAAGGCTGCATATTTTATAAAAACAGAACGCTGCTTGGGATTCTGAAGGGCCAGCATTTTGTGTTAAATTTTAAATAGCTAAAGATATTGTTCCACAGATGCTGAAGGAAATTTACTTCTGCTCTAACAGAAGAAATACATGGCTGCTAAGAAAACTGAAAATATTCGTTTAAGGTATATATGTTTTAAAAGAATGTTGAAGTTTTCTACTTATCAATGTAAATCATTTTTTTAATGAGGGATTACGACTGATTTATAGATAATTACTAAAACCCACAAAATGTTCAGAAAATATTTATCCCAAGTTTTGGGGATATCTGTACCTTCAAGTAAATACTGGACTAACTTTAAACAAGTAACAACAACTAACTTGTAAAAGGAGCGTACATACAAAATGGCAGATGCAAAGAAATCTTATTTGGAAAAGCATAATCTCATTGATACTACCAATGCCAAAACAGTTTCAATGAATTTTTGAAATTATAGAATACTCAAAAAGTCTGAATATTTACAGTATGTTGCATATTACAGACTGGTCAAATGAAAAAAAAAAATGCTCAGTAAAAGACCTTTGGCTTTCTCACTCCCCAGAGGGTTCTCTATTTTTCTTGTGTTAATGAGGAATTAACCTTAATCTTGTTTTAGACACTTCGTTGAACTCAAGCTACGTCATCAGGCACAAAAAGACAGGCATAATAAACATTCAAAAATATCTGTGAAAACAAAGTTATACTCAGCCACAAGGTCAGAATCTTTACAGCATGAGACATCACAGATAAAACTGTTGATTCTTCTTTTTTTCTTCCTTAAAAAATAAGAAACATATAGGTAGCAAGATATCATAAACCTAAAGCTGAATTTTTCAAGAGGCCAGATGCCAGACTCCTGAATACACCATTTCTTCTTTAGCTACGATTTGCCCCTGTCTGCCATCCTAGCGCTGAAGAAAACCGTAACATTATCTGATAATACTGCAAAACAAAATATCGCTAATTGTTAAAAAATTTATTTTCCTTTATAAGGAAGGCAAAACAGTATTTAAGCACAAAATTACAAATTTCAAATTATGTGTCAAGCCCATTATTAAAAATAAGAGTTTTGACTTTCTAGTTAGAGCATCACTCTGAAAAGATTTTGATGTATAAAATTTGGTATTGGGAGACCACAGAAACACAAAGCTCAGTAAAAAGGTGGCACATGGATCTCACCAGAGTGTGCACTACCTGATGGTTCTGTTTAAAAGGCTGCCTTTTGCCTCCCAGGCAGCCTGCATAAACAAACCCCTTGACACGCTACATTACACAAACGAACTCGTTCAGCTTAGCAAGCAAGCAAAACTGCTCCTTGAATTATGAACAAACAGTATTCCCTGGAATTGCCCCGGGAAGCAGAAGACTTCTTCAAAGCAATACACTGTGCTAACGCAGGGAGCTTCATAAGCAGAAAGCGTACGGAAGCCATAATATCATGCCACTCTTAAATTGGGAAATGAACTTAATTTGCTTCAGTGCTGAATTTGACCCTTTACTGTTAAAGCAAACCTCTTAAATTTCCACTTCCCATATGCAGTTTTTGTAGATTTTGAATCACTACTCCACATCTATAGATAGACAAGGCATACAAAAATCAGAAAATACTATTCTTTCTTACATACAGCTCTAGCTTAGAAAAGAGAGAGAAAAAATAAAAAAAAAGAAGAAAAAAGAAAAAAACCCCAAGTAACCAAGTAAGGATTTTGTTGTGGGCTCAAACTCAAAGGCACTCAGAGAAGAAAAAGTAAACTGATAACAACAGATAAGAATGATATTGCAAGGAAAGACATAAAGAAGAATTCGTAACAGATGAACTTACACCTAAGTAAAAAGGGAGTGTAAACTTGCTGCTACCTTCCCACCAGCACATACTTGAGCAATCAGCTCTAAAAATTAAATAGGATCTCGATAAGACACTATTCTTAGAGTACTGTCATTACCACATTTGAGCATCTTCCAATAGCATGTTGAGGGATATGAATAATCGATCAAGTCCTTGGTGATGACTTGGGCTTAACCCCAGACATACTGTTTGCTGGAGTGAGGCTCTGTATCATTGTCTGATAAAGCTGAAGATGATAAATACCTCACCAGGAGAAAGGTGCTTAGGCCTCTGGCTCCTTTCTTGAAAATGCCCTAAGAGACCATTTTGTTGTGTTCATTTGCTGTGGCCTCCCTGACTCAGTCTTGAGTTTTAAGTGTATGTGTTCAAGTAAGAGAAAACAGAAAAAGAACAAGACTTCTTGCAGCAAACATTTGTAAAAGTTCATCAAGGTCCTCAGCTAATGTAGGAATTCACTGTAATCTAGGACTTGTCTCCCAAAGATACACCTATGCTGTCAATTAGTGTAGTTCTTCAACTTTCAGTCAAGCTCAGTTATACGCAGTCTTCATTCTAGCTCTCTCTATCTCTAGTTTGGAGAGACCCAGGTGACTCTGCAGATAGATAGTGAAATTTAGGCAGAAGAAAGGCTGGTACATACTTGAGCTCTCGCCCTACTGACGTAGAGCATCCTCCTAACAGCAGTATACATACAAACAAGTGTGTGTCTGTCTGCTAAGCAAATGTGAGAAAGTTCATTATTCCTGACTGTTTTCACCTCAGAGCATTTCAATATAC